AAAAAAAAAAAAGGCAAGAGCCCCGGGCTGAAAGGCCTGGGAAGGCCTGAGTGACAGGGGGGCCGGGGGAGGGCAGGGGAAGGACTATGTGTATCCAAGCAGCAGAGACTGCAGCCTGACGTGTGGTTTTAATGACCAACACGCAGGTCAAAAGCATTTTGCACAGTGTTTGTTTTCCTGTCTTGCACTTACAAATAAGGTCTATGGGAGTAGCATGGAAAACGTTTGCTGTTTTTTCCTTTTTTTTTTTCTTTTTTTTTTTTTCTCTGCTTTTGTTTAAAATTTGATCGCCTTAACTACTGTAAACATAGCCTATTTTTGTGCTTAAGATACTGAATGGAAAACTCCATTGTGTATTGCTGGACTGTTTTGGAAATATTTGGTCAAATGTGTGTTAATTTGGCTGTAATGGCATTTAAAACAAAAAAAAAAAAAGCTGTGAAAATGGCCTTGGAGCGTTATCTTTAGTTACTTGAATAGTTTCTAGGTTTTAAAACTACATTCTTTTCTTAATTTAGAGAAGACAATCAGTGTCTGAGGAAAATGGACTTTCTCTTGGATTTTTTTGTGGTCCTCGTGAGTGATTGCTTTTTTCCTTTCCTTAGTTTCACATTCTTCTTTTGTTCTAAAACTTAGACTGACATCTAGCTTTGACAATCATAGTATGTTTTATTTTCCTGAGGGGGGAATAACTTATAATGCTGTTTAGTTTTGTACTATTGGTGTGTTGGTGAATTTTTAAACTGTGTGCTAACTGCAATAAATTATATGAACTGAGAAATCAATTCCCTTGTCTTTTTTCCCTCTTTTAAATTATAGTTACGGAGTATTTTTTATAATGTGTAACTTTATTACTTTTGTACAGACTTCTATTGCTAACTGTGTATGGAATATGTTTTCAGTATGCTTTTGAGCACTTTGTTGCTAACGTACATATTTACATCTCACTTAACATTTAAAAAAAATTAAATGCTTGTGTTTTGAAAGCATTTCTGTGTGTGTAGCTCTCGATCATTCTCTAGGGGGATTTTTTTATAATTATTTTTTTTTCCTCCCCAAAGACTTTTGCAGAAGCAAGCTATTAAATTCCAGAAATTTTGCTACCATGCAAATATCTATGGAGACACACAATTCTTTTTCTGGGCTTAATTTCACCCCAAGGAGCTCTCTCGGGCTCACTCTTTTGTGCTCAGTCTCTATCGGAACATTAGAGCAGAAAGCAACAACTTAATCTGAGGCGCTGGCCGGGTACTGACTGGCCGCCAGCGTTACAGTAGGCAGTCAAAAATGGCCAAAATACCGGCAGTGCATCAAAATTCTCTGGGCTACAGAGGAAAATTGAAATAATCCGAAGTCTGTCCGGAGATTTCTCTTACGGACGAAACCTTTCTTTAAAAGAAATGGAATGAAGCTTAGCAAAACCTTTGAAAAAGACCCGGGTGAGGCACTTGTTGCAGGATGTACCCAGAATTCTTGTTCGAGGCGGCTCCATCCTAAAGACGAGACCAACCCTGCAGAGTCCAATGGGAATATAAAAGTAGAGCTAAATTAGAAGTTGGGAGCAGAGACAGCAGGACCAACTTGAAGGGAAAAAGAAAAAAAAAAAAAAGAATTTAAACATTTCATTACATTTGTCATTTGCCTAGATACAACTGAAGTTGTGCCTTGACCAAGTGAATCTCGGTGCCTAGCGCTATTCTGCTTGTCTTCCTATGTCTACAGTAATTTGTACTTAGTCAAAATGATCTTTTTCACTGTTTTATTCTTTATAACAATTTTCAGTCATTGTTTGCTGTGTTTGGGTCAGGGTTTTTTCAGTTATCACAGATACTTTGAAAATATTTGCTTTTGTCGATGTTAGGGTCTTCAGCCGCATAGATTTCTCTTTTTCTAGCAGCAGACCTTTTCTGTAGGCTTTCATATGGTAGAATATTATGTGGAGTTAAGACGGTTTAAAGTATCATCAAGACTGAAAACCAGCTAATGTTGCAGTTCTGAAATCCGTGCAGCTGATGAGCTTTGGATGTGGCTCTTGGCAGATGCACCGTTTGTCCTCCAACATTAAGATTTTTCAAGGATTGTAGAGTCTCGAGTAGAACTAGCCTTAGAAGGAGCCCTTCTTCAGAAGGGTAACAGAAAACATAGCTCAGCCATTAATGACAAAATAATTCAAAATAGCCTTTATGCTTTGGGGTTTTATCTAGATGGTCTATACATGTGCAGCACACACTTGCTTGTGGCTATCAAAGTGTTTCTTCAATGAAAAGATGAAACATATTCCTGCGTGTTGCCTCTCTCCATAAGGTTTAATGTACTGACATGTCTAAATAGCTGTAACTTTTTTTTTTTTTTTTT